TGTGTTCAAATCCCACCGCCTTCACTTGCGAACTAATGCTATGATCCAGAGCAAGCCAGTTCATGTTTGGATCCCTTCTCTGAGTGGAGACCACAGATGTACCTCCCAAGGTGGTCAGGAGTGAAAAAAAAAAAAAAAATGCTGTAAAGTAATTAGCCTCCAACTAATAAAAAAAAAAGAAAAAAAAAAAAAAAAAAAAAAAAAATGCTGTGAAGGCCCAGCTCGAGCGCACGTTTCCAACCTTACCCGCGTCCAGAGAGTGCGAGGCAGGTGCCTCCCCAGCCCTGGGCGCACCACACCGCGGGCGCACACCCGCTCCCGTGGAGAGAGGCAGGAGCCCCAGCCTGGACTCCCCGACTCCCTCGCGGTGCTGTGACTGAGGGGGGCGTCGGCTGGGAGGCACTGCTGCGCTCCTACCTGGGAGCCCCAGGGAACCGCTGAGACTTGCGTCCTGCTGCGCGTGGGGAAAAGGGCAGGGCCTCACCTGGGCGGGCGCCGGAGGTGACGCTAACGGAGGGGCGGGGGGGGTCCCTCGGGAAACTGGGTATGTGTGAGGGGGTTGTTGAGGCGCGGAGCCAAGCCTTCGCCCGATGTGGGCATGGTTGAGGCGCGGAGGGGAGGAGTCGTGGGCGTGGCTGAGGCGTGGAGGGGAGGAGTCGTAGATGGGGCGTGGCTGAGGCGCGGAGGGGAGGAGTCGTGGGGTGGAGGCGTGGCTGAGGCGCTTTGCGGAGGCGTCCTGCGTGTGGGCGTGGCTGAGGCGTAAAGGCAGGCCATTTGCGTCTCCCTGCTTGGTCTCTTGATTCGCCTTCACCCCTCCGTGCTCTACCGCTTGTTCTTCGGCTCGACCTTGGACGCACCCTGGGTCATCCTTTGCCTCAGTCAGGCTATCTGATGCTTCCTTGGCCCAGGCTGACTCTGCCTGTGTCTGGTCTTTCTCCTATCGCTGTCGCTGGTTCTGGTCAGACTGTCTGGATCTCTGGTCTCAGGCTGTGTCTCTCTTACCGGCCTTGACTTTGTAGGCCCTTTGACCAGCGTTTCCTCTCTCTGCCCCATCTTTATCTCGACTCCGCCTCTCCACTTCCCTTTCTCTCCTGTCTCCCAGACGGCAGAATATCCTTCCCTTCTGGTCTTTGCAGTAGTAAACTCGGACATCCATAAGCCAGTAGCTGGGGGTTGAGAAGGGGCCCAGCCCCAGCCCAAGGTCCGGAAAATTCCCCAGAGGCTGTGAACTTGAGCTCCCAGATTTGGCCCGGGGCCTGGCTGTGGCTATTCTGGGTCCTGGGAGAGAGGCACCACATCTGGGCCGGGCTGAACTGTGGTCCCGAGGGCGGGGTGGGGGTGGGGGTGGCGGCGGCGCAGAGACCGCGTGAGAAGGGGCAGCTTGCTTCCGCTGAGAGCAAGGATCTCCCAGGTCTGGCAGGCTGCACCCACACACGCAGGACTTCGCAGGACTTCCCTCCTGCGGGAGGCACTCTTGGCCTTCCTAACTCAGCTAGTATTTTTCTCTTCGAGTACCAGCCTGCTCAACTCCAGTCTCCTTTGTTCCAGGAAGCCTGTTCAGCCTCCTAAACTGGCTTATTTCTACTTCTCTGTCAGTCTCAGACACAGAGCTGCTCAGAGAGGCTCCACCTAGCCAAGACACTGGCCCAGCCCAGGCTCTGGACCAAGTCTTGGGAGAAGCAAAGGAGCAGGCTCTGGTTTGTGCACTCACTTCCCCCAAGTTCCACCCTTCTTTCTCTCTAAGGCCAGAGCAGCTCTCGCCTTCCCATTCTGCCCTTCTCTCTCCCACCTCTCTTTAGAATTTACATTAATTATGCACAGGCTTTAGACACTTCTTGCACAGTTGAGCTGGGTTTGTGTCTTTTTTTTTTTTCATTTTTAGCTCTGGAAGAGATGCCTTTTTTGTTGTTTTTTAAGTCAGTGGTGAGAAACTCAAATAGTTCAAATGATACACATCGAAAAGGCAGTTGCCTTCCCACCCTCTCCAAAGAATATCTCTGCTGAACTTGCTTTGAATCACTTGTCTTCCTTAAAATTGATTCTGAAAACAAATTCAAGTGAAAAACCATGCCTTTATAAAAAGTTACTAAGTGTAACACATGGAATTGAAACATATGGAAAGGCTAAACATAAAGACTGATTGGGGGAGATTTTCCTCCCATGGAAACTGGACTGGATGAAGCGTCTTCAAATATGAGTTCAGTGGCATTGGGACTGAGAAAGCTGTGTTTCTCTGCTTGATTCATTTCTGACTAAAAACACAAGCACTCTGCTCAGAGGACCTCTTTTTTTTAAAGATAAAATTCACATATAGTTTGCCAACATAAAGTGTACAATTCAATGGTCTTTGGCATATCTACAATCATTAACACAATCAAATTTAGAACCCTTTCATCACCCTCTCCCCCCAAAGAAGCCCTGTACTGGGAGTTCTCTAGTGGTCTTGTATTTAGGATTCAGTGCTTTCACTGCTGTGGCTCAGATTCAATTCCTGGTTGGGGAACTAAGATCCTCAAAAGTTACACATAGGCACAGCTCCTCCTCCCCCCAAAAAAGCCCTGTACCCTTCAGTTCCCCATTACTCCCCAAATTTGTAGGCGTCTACTTTCTATCTCCATGGGCAACCACCAATCTACTTTCTATCTCCACAGTCCCCTATTCTAGACATTTCCCATTTCTTTTGAGCATATACCTATGAGTGGAATTGCTGGGTCATAAGGTAATTCTATGTTTAATTTTGTTGAGGGACAAGCAGACTGTTTTCCAAAGCTGCAGCACCATTGTATAATTTGCCAGCAGTGTATGAGGGTTCCAACTTTTCCATATCCTCACCAATACATATCATTATCTGTCTTTTAAAAAATTTTATTGTATTCTAGTTGATTTAAAGGTAGTGTATAATCTGTCTTTTTAATTACAACTATCCTAGTGGTATCAAGAGGTATCTCATTGTGGTTTTTGATTTGCATTTTCCTGATGATTGATAATCTGAGGGACTTTTGATAAACTTGATTTGCAGTTAGGGTTGTCTACCCAACTGTCACTGAAGGACTGGAGGGTCTCCACTTACTCTTTAGTTTTCCCCCAACAGCACAGTAATGTCTTCTGCATTACAATCATAATTCAAAGGTTTCTTGAGCACCACCTGGGGTTGGGCACTGTGCTAGGTGCTGAGGATACAGCAAAATAAACAAGGTCTCACCTCTTGGAGAGCTTGGTGTGTAAAGGCGTGGCTCCAGATTCGAATACTTGCTTTGTCACCTCCCAGCTTTGTGGCCTTGGGCAGTGTGTCCAGTCTTGCCCAGCCTCAGTTCCTAATCTGTGAAATAAGGTTGCTCTGAGAATTACATGCAAAGCACTGAGCAGTATCCAGCATATAGTAACTGCTCAGGAGGCTCTTGTTATTATTAAAGATGAGGCCAGACAATTAAATGTTAACCACAATGGACAATGAGTTACTATCAAAGAAATGCAAAGTATCATGGAACACAGGGGCTTCCCTGGTGGCTCAGATAGTGAAGACTCTGCCTGCAATGTCGGAGACCTGAGTTCGATCCCTGGGTCGGGAAGATCCCCTGTGGAGAAGGAAATAGCAACTCACTCCAGTATTCTTGCCTGGAGAATCCCATGGACAGAGGAGCCTGGTGGGCTACAGACCATGGTGTTCCACTTAATGGAACACAGAGAGGGGACCCCCAAACCAATCCAGGGTCTAGGAAAGGCAACCCAAGGAAGTGATGTTTAAACAGAGAGGTAGCAATTAGCTAAAGCAAGGCTCTGTGTGTGTGTGTGTGTGTGTGTGTGTGTGTGTTCGTTCCTGACAGTTGCAACAGCTTATGTGAAGACTTGGAAGCAACAGAAGAGAGCATGGTATACTGGTATACTGGAGAGACTGAAATGTGTTCAGAATGTCTAGAGCAGGACTGTAAAATAAAATTCTCTGCTATGATGGAAAAGTTCTGTATCTGTGCTGTCCTCTATAGTAGCCACTAACCACACGTGACTACGAGCATTTGAAATGTCTAATTGTAGAACTGAATGCTTAATTTAATTTTACTATAGTTGACATATTTAAATAGCCACTGTGGCTGGTGAGCTTACATTGGACAGCACAGGTGTATACACTGGAATGTCATGTGAACGGCAGGGTTCACATGCAATAAGAGATGGGGTGTGGAGAAGGGTATCCAGTTGCACGGGCTTGGTATGGGGGGGTGTTTAATTAAGTCAGGGAGTGAGGTGATTTGGTTTTTGTTTTTGAAATACCACTCTCATTGCTGTAGGAGAATGGATTATGGAGGGGTGTGGGGCAGGAGTGAAGCAGGTAGGCCAGCCTGAAGGTGGCTGTGGTCTCCCTGGCAGGAAGGACAGTGGTTTGGACCAGGCAGAGATAGAGACAAATTGGGAGGTTTCGGGGTGTGGGGCTCCTGATGGGGTGGATTTTAGGAGTGAAGGAGAGAGAGATGACCGAGGGCTGGCTACTACTAGGACGGTGGCTGTGTCCAGGGCTGGTTTGGAAGGGAGTTGTCTAATTTCAGAAGCACAGTCGCCCCTGCTGGCCGGTACTGGAAGCGCCTTTAGCACAGGGAAGGAAGGCCGGTGTCCACAGGCTGGGGGTCTGGGGGACTGCGGAAAGGTCCCGGGAGGTCGGGAGGTTCGGGCGGTGGGGTGCATTCCAGGGGCAGGTGCTGGGCTGAGTCCCTCCTTTCCGGGGGCATCCACATAGCTCTCCCTGCCCCGTCTGAGCCACATGGCCGCTGGGGGACAAGTGGTGGGGAAGAGGAGGGGTGGGGGTCAGTGTAGGGACCGAGTCCTTCCCTGACCCAAGGACCCGCCAGCTCCCCTCTCCCCCGAGCAGGACCCCGCACCCAAGGGTGGCCTCTGACTGCCCCACCCCCGGCATCTGGTGGCCTCAAAGGCAGGCAGTGGGGGTGGGGCGGGGCGGGAGGCGGGGCGTGTCTCCCCAGAGAGGGTGTGGCCCGCGGTCCTTATGGTCGTTGTCCGGGCCAGCGGGTCCTGCCGCGAGAGCGTTGACCCGGCTGCAGCCAGGCGGGCTGAACGTGAGGCACGCGGGAGCACACAGCCGGCTCTCGGGGCTGCGGGCCGGCCCGCGCCCCTCCCGGCTGCACTTCCTCCGCAGCCCCAAGCCGGACGCACCGCGCGCTGCCTCCACCGAGCTGGTGAGTACGGGATGATGCGGGCGTCCCCGGGGGCCCGGACCCTCAGGCCTGGGGGTGGTGGCTAGGAAGCCCAAGTGGGCTTCTTGCTAACCAAGCCCTGAGCCAGGGTCTCCGCGGGGCTCCGGCTCCCTCCTTCACCTGACCACCCAGGTCCTTCCTCTCTGGGAAGATGGTGGGGCGGGGTGGGGGGTGGGGGGCGGCGATGGGCAGGGCAGGGGCTGCACAGACAGCTGTTGCTGCGGAGGCTCGGGAGCCGTGGGCCGGGAGGCAGAACGGTGCGAGAGTGCGGAGCTTAGCCAGGTTAAATGGCGAGTGGCATGGGAAAGATGCCCCCGGGGTGCGCAGAAAGATGCTGGTTCAACACTGCGTCGTGAGGACTGGACAGGGCCCCGCCTCCCCTGCTTCTGTGGGAAGATGCGCCCACGTCGCCCGCCCCCCTACTCCGGGGGCTGAAGTTGCAAGGAAGATGGTCCAGGCCCGGCCACTGTCCATCCTGCCACTGCTGCCTTCTGCTTCCCGTCCCCAAGTCCCCACGCTCTGCTCCCTGAGCCCTCTCTCCAGTTTTCTCTCCTCTCCCCACCTTGGGCGCTTTTCCCTTCTCTCTGCTCAGCCAATGGGGGGCCCAGGGGCTTCCCCCACCCCACACTGGGGCCCCACCCTGCCGTGTGATGGCGGCTGTGGTTTCAGCGCTCCCCTTGAGGGTGAGCTGGTGCTTGGAGCCGAACTCCCCGCCCAGCCTGGGCCTGGTGGGGCTGCCGGCTCAGGGCCGCTTGGGCGCCAGCGAGGTGTCTCCCTCTGGCTCTGAACCCCCTAAGAGACACTAAGGCTGAAAATACACTCAGGCCCTGAAAATCCTTCAGGCCCCGAAGGATTCTGAGAACCGAAGAGGAACAGCACGGTGGGGCGAGGCGCTGCCCACAGCTTGGGACCTTGGGAAAGTCACTTCCCCCTTCTGAGCCCTGGTCGTCCTGGCAGCAAAATAAAGACTTTGATAGGCCCGAGGTTTTCCGAGGACTTCCCCAGAGCGCCCCTACTCTGCGTGGGAGGTGGCATGACCTGCCCCCATCGGAAACTGCAGTTTTCATCTGATGTGAATGTTGGCTGCTGGGCAGGAGGTTGTGTCGAGAAAGGGTTGTGCTTTTAACACAGACGTTTTGGGACCAGGGGCTGTGGCCTCGCAAAGATCAGTAAGTCCCAGAGGGAGAGGCAGGGACAGCGATGGTCCCTGTTTCTCAGATGGGGCCTCCTTCCCGGGCCTCCCTCCTCTGGCTCCTCTCCCTGCTCCTGTTGGACTGAGTCCCTGCCCTGGGGGCTGGTCTACTTGTGTGTGCTTACCCCATGGACTGTAGCCCTCCAGGCTCCTCTGTCCATGGGATTTCCCAGGCAAGAATACTGGAGTGGGTTGCCATTTCCTCCTCCTGGGGATCTTCCCGGCCCCGGGATTGAACCCGCTTCTCCACACTGCAGGTGGATTCTTACTGCTGAGCCACCAGGGAAAATCTGCTTGTACCCAGCTTCTGTTAATGAACCTCTCTGGTCCCAGGCTCCAGCCAGCTCTTCTAGTCCTGCTCCTACTGGGAGGAGATCCCTCTGACATCTCTGTCCGCCCACATCCCCACAGAGGTTCCAGTCAGAAGGGGCAGCCGTCTTCCCTGAGGATGACCACGCCTTCCAGCCCTCCTGCTTTCAGGCTTGAGACCTCAGATGGAGGCCATGAAGATGGTGCCCAGGGAAACAGAGAAAATGGGGGCGGGGGCTCCGAACCACCCCCCATGGAGTCCCAGTTCCAGGGTGAGGACCGGAACTCCTCCCCACAGATCAGAGTGAACCTCAACTTCCGAAAGGCAGCAGGTGCCAGGTGAGGCAGCAAGTGTGGATGGAGCCTGAGGCCTCACTTCTAGCAGAAGCAGACTGGGTGGCCTGGCCCAACCCCAGCGCCCCTTCCCCATAGCCTGCAGGGTCCTTGGTCTGGCTCTGATGGCTCCTGGGCCGGCAGGCTTAACTCTGCTCTGCTTGCTGAGGATGCTGCTTCCAGAACCTTTCCCATTCTTGCCCTTCTGTCTTCTGGGGTTGCATTCCTCTTGGTAGGGACATACTCTTTCAGCTCCAGTTACTCAACTGAGCCTGGCATGTCCCTTGTTTGTCACAGTCCCTGCGGGGGGTGGTAGCAGGATCCACACTCCATCATTCCAATGTTAGTATATGTGCTGCCGAAGCGAGCACAGGATCCACACTCCAGTCCAGGAGAGTCAAGGACATCCAGGAATGTCCCACGTGCTCCCAGGCTCCTCTGAGGCTGGACCTGTTGCCCTGGGGACGTGGACTCTGGGGATTAAGGACAGTGGGCTTATTCTTGGAATCACCTTCACTTTGACTTTCCTGTGATGTCCACTAATTCAGACCCTGGGAACCACTCTGGTGGGGAGCCCTGTGGGTGTGGGGGAGGGGTGCATCTGGCATGCCCCCAGGGTGAAGTCTGACATATCTGCATGGGCCAGACAGCACTCTGCTAGGGAAGCCCCTCCGTCCCTCCCTCCTGCCTTACTCACCCCTGGGACTCGGCTGCCCGCCTTGGCCTCCCAGCCCAGAGCCCCCATCCTGTCTGTGCTGCAGGACCGAGGTCACATTCACACCAGGGCAGGAGAGAATGCTTGCGAGGCTTCTGGGATTGGGCCGCTAGCCCGAGGCAGAACCAGCCCCTTGCTGCCCTTTGTGCCCCGTGGGCTTCCCTGTCCCAGGACTCTGATGCTGCCCTGTGACAGGAAGTGCCTGTCCAAATAGCCACTTCCCCTAGCCAGACTGCCCCGGGCTCCCCAGTCTGCCGCAGAGCCCTCTTGGTCATGCTGCGTCCACGTGGTCTGCTGGGTGAATGATGGTGAGTCAGTCACGCGATCCCAGCTTAAAACACGACTGATCCCAGCAACCCCCCCCACCCCACTCATCAGAGCCCCCAGCCCTTTCTTGGTTGATCCACTCCATGGCAGACCTGAGGGTCCCCAAGACGTCAGTTAGTCCCCTTTTTGTTACTTCATATTGTCTGGTCATGGTGCCAGGAGCCCAAGGGCGAGCTGGCCTCTGTGAGTAGGGACGGGTCCAGGCAGGGGTGCCCCACACAGCACTGCTAGACTCAGAAGGGTTACCGGCCACTCCTGGGGACTTTTCCCAGAAGTATGGCTTCTCAGTAAAATTCTGTGAGTGTCTGGTTTCCACTCTGGGACCCATCTCTCTGAGGAACCTCTGTCTGTCCAGACTGGAGTTTCTCTGGAGCTGGGGTCTGGAGTTAGTTGAGCCCCCACTGTCCTCTACCCCCGCACCATGAATTCTGCACCATGTGACTTTGGGAAGATTACTTTATCTCCTTGTTTGTCTGATGGAGAAGACAGAGATTACTCACCCAGGACAGAAGTGATGGTCAGGGGGGCAGCTGCTCCATTGTTAGTCCATAGATGGTTTGAGAAGATGAGGTGCTTTTCTTGATTCCTTGGTGGGGGCCAGAGGTGCAGACAGCCCCCAAGTCTGTGGGCACCTCCGGTAGCCCCGTGCTGACCCAGGCCCCAGCTCAAGGGCCATGACGAGTCCCTGTGCTGAAATGGACAGTGAGCCTGTTGTGAGGCCCACAGGGCACCTAGAGAGTGAGAACAGATCTCCCAGATGCGTAGGGTTGGGGGATGCATGGACCAGGGCCCTGGACAGCCCCCTCCTCCAGGGGTCTGAGCACCTGGGGTCTCATTGGTCAGCCTGGGAGAATGTATGCTGCATGCTAAGTCACTCAATCATATCTGACTCTTTGCGACCCCATGGACTGTAGCCCTCCAGGCTCCTCTGTCCATGGGATTTTCTAGGCCAGAATACTGGACTGGGTTGCCATGCCCTCCTCCAGGAGATCTTCCTGACCCAGGGATTGAACCCGTGTCTCCTGGATTGCAAGTGGATTCCTTTTTTTTAGAAAGAAAGTGAAGTCGCTCAGTTGTATCCAACTCTTTGCGACCCCACAGACTGTAGCTCAAGTGGAGCCCAAGGCTCTTCTGTCCATGGAATTTTCAAGGCAAGAGTACTGGAGAGGGTTGTCATTTCCTTCTCCGCAAGTGGATTCTTTACCTCTGAGCCACAGGGAGGGTAGAGTCCCTGAAGAGGCTCCCATGGGGCTCCCTGGGAAGGGGGAAGAGCTTCCCCCCTTTCTGGAGGCCCAGAGCTCTCCTGCAGTATCAGTCACAAACCACATTCCCACAGACAGCCAGACCCAAACCGCTTTGACCGCGACCGGCTCTTCAGCGCCGTGGCCCGGGGGGCCCCCGAGGACCTGGCGGGGCTACCAGAGTATCTGAGCCGGACCAGCAAGTACCTCACAGACTCGGAGTACACAGGTAGGCTACTGCTTGGGCCAGAGACCCACGAGCCGGGCTGAGACTGGGCTCCCTGGGTGGGTCTCGACCATGGTCAGGAGCTGAGAGGCAAGGAGGGGCAGTGTTCCTAGCGGCTCTCCTGCTGACACAGCTTGCTCCCCTGTCCACCTACCCAACCAGCTCCCGGCCTGGGCCTGCCTCAGCCACCCTCAGCCGTGTCAGTGGTGAACGGATATTCCCAGGCTTCCTCAGTGAGGTCTTTCCCTGCCTCTTTTTCAGTAACAGCATCACTGAGATCTGACACATATAACACACATTTCATCCATCTCAGAGCGTTCTTTGGCCCAAACATAAGTACCTGTAATGTTTGGGCTGATGAAGAAAAGAACATTTGTGCATTCTAGAAGGTTCAAATAGTAATGAAATGTATAAAGCTGAAGGTACAAACAGTCCGTCATCCTGGCCCCTAATAATGATATGGAATACATCTTTTCAGACTGTTTAAATCCAGGAGGTTTATATTTATAGAGGTGGGGCCCATGCCATGTGTGCTGATCTGTATTGTGCTTTCCCCCTTTTACTACATCTTATAGCACGATCCATCTCAGTGCACAGGCCTCTAACTCAGTCATCGTTAACAACAGGCGGAGTTTCCCATCCTGCACATTGACCACAGTTTAGTTAACTAACTGGTGGCCATTTAGATTGTTTGTAATTTTTGGCCTCAACACCTCTGTGTACTAAGAATTTTGTATATAATTCCATGTGATCCTTACAAGAATCCTGGGATGGTCCCATTTTACAGTGAGGAAAATTGAGGTTAAGAGAGGCCAAATGACTTGCCCAGAAGAGACAGAGTTTTTAAGTGGTAAAGCCACTTAACAAACACTACTCCAAACGTTCTTGTGTAGACAACGCTGCCCACATGTCTTAGAAACTTAATTTATAGGGCAGAAATTGTAGCATACCAGAATATTACTCAGCCATATAAAGGAACAAATTTGAGTCAGTTGTAGTGAGGTGAATGAACCTAGAGTCTGTTGTACAGAGTGAAGTAAGTCAGAAAGAGAAAAACAAATATCGTATATTAATGCATATATATGGAATCTAAAAAGTGGTACTAATGAACCTAATGGCAGAGAGGGAATGGAGATAGAGACATAGAGAATGGACTTGTGGACACAGCAGGGGAAGGAGAGGGTGGGACAAATTGAGAAAGTATCATTGACAGGTATCCACTACCATGAGTAAAACAGACAGCTAGTGGGAAGCTGAACTTGCTCTGTGATGACCTAGAGAAGTGGGATGGGGGAGTGGGAGGGAGGCTACAGAGGGAGGGGTTTTATGTATATAATTATGACTGACTGGAGTTGTTGTATGCAGAAACCAAACCAACATTTTAAAGCAGCTTTCCTCCCAACTAGAAAATAAAGAAAATTGCAGCCATGCCTGTTGGTGTTCTAACACCTCTGGCTTGAGCCTTGTCACCCTGCATGCAGCATGGCTGGGGTGCTCCCTATATGGGCGGGTGGGCGGCCTGGACACCGCAGTGCCCCTCCCCTCCTCCTGCAGAGGGCTCCACGGGGAAGACCTGTCTGATGAAGGCCGTGCTGAACCTTCGGGACGGGGCCAATGCCTGCATCGAGCCGCTGCTGCAGATTGACCGGGACTCGGGCAATCCCCGGCCTCTGGTCAACGCCCAGTGCACGGATGAGTACTTCCGAGGCCACAGCGCCCTCCACATCGCCATCGAGAAGAGGAGCCTGCTCTGCGTGAAGCTCCTGGTGGAGAATGGGGCCGATGTGCACGCCCGGGCCTGCGGCCAGTTCTTCCAGAAGAGGAGCCAAGAGACCTGCTTCTATTTCGGTGAGCTGCCTTCTTGGATAAACTGGGCTGCAGAGGGGATAAGACCTCGCCCACGGTCACAGGGTTAATGTGACCCTGAAACCCAGACCTGTCTGACCCCTTATGCTTCTAATCGCTCAGCCACCTGCAAAGGCAGCTTCTCTAAGAGATGTTTTACCCTTATCTGGCCAAGGAAGCTCACTCACTACACACGAGCTCAGACCAGGGCCAGGGGAGCGGGCGGCTAGCACTGGTGTGTGACGAGACTCGACCAGACAAGGCCTGGAGGAAGGGGCATCTGTGCCCGGCGGCAGTGGGTCTGGGCCCCAGAAAAGAAAAGAGACAGAGGCAAGGGGTGGGAAGCCTGGTGGGCAAGCCCACACTCTGATCCCTTAGATGGTAAAGAGCTCCAGGCTCTCTCCCTTGGGTCAGAGCTGAACAGAGCCGCCTTGACCAGCTCCTGAGAAAAGGCGCAGCTGCCCTAGGCGGGGCCCGGGACCTTCTCCACTCACTGCCCAGCCTGGGTGGGCTGGGACCTTCTCCACTTACTGCCCAGCCTAACTGGTCTGGGTACCTTCTCCGCTCACTGCCCGACCTGGGTAGGTCCAGGACCTTCCGCACTCACTGCCTGGCCTGGCTGGGCTGGGGACCCTGATATAATACTGCATCTCCTCCTCTGGCTGCCTGACCCACCTCAAGGTGGTCCAGGGAGCATGACGAGCCGGCGGGTGGAAGCTGAGAGGCCCGAGGCCCAAGCTGCCCCCTCGGCCCCCAGGCGAGCTGCCCCTCTCCCTGGCTGCGTGCACCCAGCAGTGGGACGTGGTGACCTACCTCCTGGAGAACCCGCACCAGCCCGCCAGCCTGCAGGCCGCCGACTCGTTGGGCAACACGGTGCTGCACGCCTTGGTGATGATCGCAGACAACTCTCCGGAGAACAGCGTGCTGGTGACCCACATGTACGACAAGCTTCTCCAGGCGGGGGCCCGTCTTTGCCCCTCTGTGTGGCTGGAGGACATACCCAATCTGCAGGGCCTCACGCCCCTGAAGCTGGCTGCCAAGGAGGGCAAAATAGAGGTGAGCAACTGGGCCGCCCTTTTCAGGAAGCAGGAGGACTCAGCCAGGATTTTTGCAGACAGAGCCTGGGGTGGTGTCTAGCTCAGAGCAGTTTCAGCATGCACCTCTCTGACGTCTGTGTTTATTGATAAATTATCCAGGAGCTGCAGAACGAATATACTACATTATAAAGCAGGGATTGTATATTTTTGGCTGCACTGTGCAGCTTCCCAGATCTTAGGTCCCCAACAAGGGATTGAACCTGGGCCATGGCAGTGCAAGCCTGAGTCCTCATCACTGGACCACTAGGGAACTCCCAGGGATTCTTTTTAAAGTTATTTGGGTTTCTTGATTAGGAGATAGCTGTCTCATATTCTTTGTTGTTAGGTTTTCTTCCTATTTATTGTTGTGTTCTTTTTTAAAAAATTATTTATGTATTTTTTTTTTAATTTTGGCTGTGCTGGGTCTTTGTTGCTGCACACTGGCTTTCTCTAGTTGTGGCAAGTGGGGGCTACCCTCTAGTTGAAATGCAAGGGCTTCTCATTGTGGTGGCTTCTCTTGTTGAGCAGTGCTCACTCCAGGGTACGCAGGCTTCTGTTGTGGCATGTGGGCTCAGTAGTTGGGGCTCGCAGCCTCCAAGGCTCGTTAATTGTGGCACATGGGGCTTAGTGACATATGGGATTTCCCGGACCAGGGATCGAACCCATGTCCCTTGCATTGCAAGACAGATTCTTAACCCCTCGACCACCAGGGAAGCCCCATAAGTGTTCTTGATCATTGACCATAACAGCATTTTGTTTACAATTTGTCATAGTTGCAAATTTTTCTCCCAGTTCAATGTTAAAAAAATATTATGGTATTTTTTGCTACACAGAATTTTTACATTTTCATGTAGCTGAGTGTAATTATCTTTCTCTTGATTTTTGCTATTGCTTAACTCCTACATGGTTTTAAAACTTTGTGTGTGTGCATGCATATACGTGTGTGTGTGTATGCATGTGTGTGTATTCCATAGTCATATCTTCTTCCAGACTTTTCTTTTGCAGTTTCAACTTTAATGTGCTAAAGCTGATTTATCTGGAAGTTATAAGTTACTCTTACAAAGAGTAACCATGAGGAAATTCCCCAGCAGTCCAGTGGTTAGGACTCTGCACTTTGATTGCCAAGGGCTTAGGTTCGATCCTTCATCTGGGAACTAAGATCCCACAAGCTGTGTGGTTAAAAAAAAAAAAGAATAATCATAATCTAGCTTTACTTTTTTCTCAAAAAACTTTCTCGTTATCTGATCCTTATTATCGGGGAGAGCTTCATGGGTGTACAACCCACACAGTTGACACAGGGCCCCATGCTTAGAACATAGCTGTCTTTAAAGTTTAAGACCAAACTGAACATAAATGGAAGTTTTACATTTTCTTCCTGCCCTCCAAGGCCTTTGGGGTGTGGGGACCTCCCTTTGTGTCTAGAGGCATGGCTGTGTGACCTGTGGAAGCCACTCCCCAACAGAGGAAGCCCCCCTCGCCCCACTCCTCACTTGTAAAACTACACTGCTCTGAACCTGTTCAGGTCAGGGACACTTTCTAGCCTGCTGAGAGCTCTAGACTCTGGCCACAGTCATGCACACACGTGTGTAGCCTGCAGCCTCTGATGTCATGGGGCATTAAGGACCCCTGAACTGGGAGTCCCTTGGCCATAAGAGTGTCCAGGAAAGAGGCCTTGGGGCAGGAATGGGGAAGGAAGAGCCAAACTTGCCGGCAGGCCCTGGCATAGGTGGGTAGGTGGTAGTGCCTACATGGGGCTCAGTATGTGGACGTGTGTGTAAGAGTTCATATGCACAAGTACATGTGGGTGCAGGGCACATGCATGTGTCTGCTCTGTAGGACACTGAGCCCGAGGCTTCCCATCAGTGGGGGCGGTGGTCGTGCAGGTCAAGATCAAGCTCATGTGCCTGGCCCTGTAGATTTTCAGACACATCCTGCAGCGGGAGCTCCCGGGGCCATGCCAGTCCCTTTCCCGAAAGTTCACGGAGTGGTCCTACGGGCCCGTGCGGGTGTCGCTGTATGACCTGGCATCTGTGGACAGCTGGGAGGAGAACTCAGTGCTGGAGATCATCGCCTTTCACTGCCGAAGCCCGGTGAGCCCGTAGCGGGGGCGGTGTGTGTAGGGGGCCTGGCAGAGCTTCCTGCAAGGTCTACCACTCGGGCCGGCCTGCTGGACCACATATGCCCTGAAACCGGGATGTGGGGGTATGGCTTCACATCCTCACCCAGCCCCTGGGCACGCGCTCATTCCACACACCGGTGCCACCCGACCTGGGGATCATGCCAGGGTGTCCTCTCTGTTGCCCAGCACCTGCTCAGGACTGGTCACTCTGTAGCTGTGAGGGTGGGGAGGGGTCATTCGGGGCTCCCTGTCCTCTCCCCCTCCCCTGGTGCCCCCAACTGTACTTGCTGAATCGAACATGCCTCTGACTCTCACCTGCCCATCCTAGCTCCGGCACCGGATGGTAGTCTTGGAGCCTCTGAACAAACTGCTGCAGGCGAAGTGGAAACTGCTCACCCCCAGATTCTTCTTCAACTTTCTGTGTTACTTGACCTACGTGTTCATCTTCACCGCCGTCACCTACCACCAGCCTGCCCTGGATAAGGCAAGGCGAGGAGGGGTGCGTCCTGGGGAGGCTTGCCAGAAACAATCCTGGCAGAAGACGGGGCAAGGATTATCACCTGCCCTGCAGATGCTGACCGCTGGGTGCTGCAGCCATGCACTAACCTAGCTGGTCACAGTACGGAAGTAACAGTATAGTGGTAACAGCAGTAATAGTTAGGACTTAGTGAGTGTGCACCATATGTGAGAAAGTGCTCCATGTGACTGACATGTGTTAACATATTTAATTAATTTCACAACAAGTCTCTGAGATGATAACTCTCATCATCGCTGGTTTACAGTTGAGGGAAGGGAGGCACAGAGAGACTAAGGAGCTTCTCCAGGGTCACACAGGCTGTGAGTGGTGGAGATGGGACTGAACCCAGACAGACAGTCTGGCTTCAGAGCCCACGCTTGCTCTGCCACTCTGGGGGCCTCCCCGCTGCTCACACTCAGAATGGGCCCCCAGCCAAGCTGTTAGTGGGGGGCTACTGGGAGGGGACCCCAGGCTGAGCCGAGCGTCTCTTCACGCAGGACTTCCTCCCACTGGAAGTGACGGCTGGGAACACCATGCTGCTGCTGGGCCATGTGCTGCTTCTGCTCGGGGGGGTCTACCTCCTCATGAGCCAGGTAAGGGCTCCTCCGACCACCCAGCTCCAAACCCAGAATCCTGCTCTGAGGAGCCTGGGCATGGGTTAACCAAGTCCCTGCATTTTCAGGAGACTGAGCCCCATACCTGGTCCCTTGCTGACCAGCCTCAGGGTGGCCTTGCCTTCTGGGCTGAACGCCCTAACCCTGCTGTGCTTGCTGGGGTGCCCTCAGGGTGGCAAATGACTCCTGTGATCCCCTGGCAGTGCCGGCTCTGCTCCCCTGCGAATGGAGCTAGATGCCCCCCAGCCCATGGTCTCTCAGCTAGGTCGTTCCTCACTTGAGGAGCACAGAAGGGTAGACTAGGGGGATTCAGCCCAGTATCCTGAGCAGGACATCCTCAGGGGAAGATGCTGCCAGCTTGCAGGAAACAGACTGGGCCGTGGTGTGGAGACTCTCTGGGAGGCCAGGGTGTCTGAGGCACCAGATGGTCCCTGGGCAGCCAGGGAGGGGGAGGGAAAGGAGGTCCCCCCCCCATTGTATGGAGCGTGAGCCCTCCAGCTGGATCCACAGGGAGCCGGGGGGTCCCTGGCATTGTCTGGGAGTCTGACAGTTTGGAAACAGGGTCTGGAGCTTTCTCAGCTACCAGCTGGATTCATAAGCACCTCAAAAGTCCTGAGCCCCCGAGGTGGTTTTGGTCTGATTGTGCCAGGCTGGCAGGCGGGGAGCATGGGAGTGGTGATCCAGCCCTGAGGGCAGCGGGGCTGTGTTGTGGCCCCGCACGTGTCACAGCCTGTCCTCCCGGCCCCCCGCCCCCCTGCAGCTGTGGTACTTCTGGAGGCGCCGTCTGTTCATCTGGATCTCCTTCATGGACAGCTACTTCGAAATCCTCTTGTACGTGAGACCTCACCCCTCCTCCCCAATCTTGGCCTGGGAGGGGGCACCACGCGGCTTTGGGGACCAGCGAGCTCCAGGGACTGGGACCAGCATGCAGGCCGGACCCAGGAGCTGGGCTGCTGTTGGGTCCAGCTCATCACTGAGACAGTCACGTCGACCAAATCCTCGCTCTGCCTCAGGGGAGCCTAAAGTCTTTACCTGCCATGTCTCACTGAATCCTCGCCGACACCCACCAAGCCAGGCGTTGTTACTCTCACCCTCATTTTACAGGGGAGGGTCCAGTCTGGACACAGGGAGGACATCTCACCTCTGAGACCTCGGCAGGGGGTGGGGGCAGTGGGGGTCTGCAGCGGCCAGGGGAGGCCCTCGAGCTGACTGACCCCGCCCCCGCAGCCTGGTCCAGGCGCTGCTCACCGTGCTGTCCCAGGTGCTGCGCTTCTTGGCCGTCAAGGCATACCTGCCGCTGCTCGTGTGCTCGCTGGTGCTGGGCTGGCTGAACCTGCTCTACTACACGCGTGGCTTGCAGCACACGGGCATCTACAGCGTCATGATCCAGAAGGTGAGAGGCAGGGGCAGCCCCGTGCAGCCAGACTGGGCAGAGATGGACACTGCACCCCAGGGGGACTCCTTTTGGGCTCAGCAGGCAGGCGCAGAACTCCCCCTCCCACCCTAGCTAGGCTAGGCAGAGGGGAACGTGAGCAAGTCTGCCCATGCCCCGTGCCCCCAGACGCTCGCCGAGTGTCAGCATCAGGGCGCACATACCTGTGCCTGCTCTCGATGTCTGCCCTCCACACGGGTAAGCACACGTGCACACGTGTGTGCTGGCAAGTGTCCACACAGGAGCATGTGCCTCCTTTGCGCTGAAGTGGCAGGGATCAAGCAAAGAAGCTCACCGGTGTGCCTGTGACCTGGGTTGTCTGGGCACGTGGAGCTGCCTGCATTCACTCAGTCATTCAACAAACATATAGGAAGTGGATGCTAGGTATGGGTCAGGCCCTGTTCTAAGTATCAGGAACACAGTGTTTTGTTCACAGACAGAATAGATCTCGCTCTCCTGAAGCTGACATTCTAGCAGAGGAAACAGCGTAAGAAAACAAATGAGAATGGTGCATTACACTAAATTCTCTGAAGGAAACATGTAAGGGGGTATGAGGGACAGTGACTGGGTGCTGTAGACCGGATGCTCTGGGGGTCTCTTTGAAGAGGTGGCATGTGAGTTAAGATCTGAGACAATGATCCAACCACCACAGACTCAAGGAAGTAGCAATCTAGGCAAAGGGACCAAGGCCGGAAGCCAGAGCGAGTTTGGACGGCTAGGGACAGACAGTGGCTGGGAGGGTATGGGAGGAAGTGGGGGGGAAGGGAGTGGTTTTACTGGCCACAGGGAGGCCCCTGGAGGATTTCAGTCAGGTCCAGTTCTTTGCAACCCTATGGACTATGGCCCTCCAGGCTCCTCTGTCCATGGGACTCTCCAGGCAAGAATACTGGAGTGGGTTGCTATGTTCTCCAGGGGATCTTCCCCACCAAGGGATGGAACCCGCGTCTCTCACATCTCCCGCATTGGCAGGCAGGATCTTTCCCACTGAGTCACCCAGGAAGCTCAGTGACATTAAGTACATTCACAGTGTTGTACAACCATCTCCATCATCTCCAGGACTTGTCCACCTTCCCCAGTTGAAATTCTGTCCCACGGAAGTCTAACTCCCCATTACTCGCCTCCTCCTTGCCCCTGGTAACCACACTTCCACTTTCTATCTCTTATTCACTTATTTCACTATTCTCATCACGTAAGTGCCAGTCATACAGTATTTGTCCTTTCGTATCTGGCTTATTTCCCTGGGCATAATGTCCTCAAGGTTCATCCGTGCTGTCGTACCTTAGAATCTCCTTTCTTTTTAAGACTGAATAGTACTGCACTGTACGTAGATGCCACATTTAGTTTAATTGTTCATCCATCTGTGAACACTTGGGTTGTTGCCACCTCTGGCTGTTTGAACAATGCTGCTGCGGACACAGGTGCCCGGGTTATCTGTTCGAGTCCTTGTTTTCCATTCCTTCTCTTGGGTGCATATCCAGACATGGAGCTGCTGGAGCCTGTGGTTTAACTTTTTGGCTTTGGAGGGTTTTGAGCAGGAAAATGATATGATCTGATACAGATTTTTTTAAAGACCCCCCTTCTCACTGTGGCTCCACAGGGCCTGTGTATGCCCACATTTTGTGTGTGTGTGTGTGTGTGTGTGTGTGCGCGCGCAGGGCAGAGGTAGGGTCTGGAGTCACACCTAGTGACCTGGCCCCCCCACCGGCTCCGGGGTGTGTATTCTAGGTCATCCTTCGGGACCTGCTCCGCTTCCTGTTGGTCTACTTAGTCTTCCTTCTCGGCTTCGCTGTCGGTAAAGGCCCTTGCTCCCCCACCCAGCCCGTGCCCACCCTCGAGGCTGCCCGCTGGTCTCCCCTGGGCTGAGCACCCCCTGCCTCTCTCCCCTCCCTGCAGCACTAGTGAGCCTGAGTAGGGAGGCCCAGGACACTGGGGCCCCTGCGGGTTCCAACACCACAGAGGTGGCGGGGAAGGAGGACAAGGAGGCCCCATACCAGGCTATCCTGGACGCCTGCTTGGAGCTGTTCAAGTTCACCATCGGCATGGGCGAGCTGGCCTTCCAAGACCAGCTGCGCTTCCGGGGCGTGGTGCTGCTGCTGCTTCTGGCCTATGTGCTGCTCACCTACGTCTTGCTGCTCAACATGCTCATCGCGCTCATGAGCGAGACCGTCAACAGCGTCGCCACCGACAGCTGGAGCATCTGGAAGCTGCAGGTGCCTGGGGAGGGTCCCCATAGCCTCCTGAATCCTGAGCCCCCGAGTGGGATCTCCCTTGTCCATTCCTTCCTTCCTGCACAGGGCTGACCTGAGGACGGATCAGGTCTTGGGAGGTGCCTTGAACATACTAGGTGCTGTGTGCTAGCTGCCATCATCATCAGTACTAAGTGTTTCCTGAGTGCCCAGTGCAGGGCTAGACACGGTTCTAGGCTCCAAGCATATGGCAGAGAACAAGATGAAGACTCCACCCTCGTGCAGCCAGTTTCTGTGCACATCGAATGTTCAGTGGGGTTAGCTTGGTGGGCGATGCATGTGGGATGCAGGGTCCTGGGTTGGCCTGGCCTGGAGGAACTGAGGCGGAGGGCAGAGGCTGGGGTAGCTGGGAGTTGATGAGAGCTGGGTGGGTCAGGGTGGGTGTAGACAGGTGGTGCGGAGAGAGCCTTGTGGGTGAGGGAGTGCTGAACTGTGTGACCCATCACTGCTGACCTTGGGAAAGCCACTTGTCTTCTCTGAGTCTGACCTGCAAAGTTCCATGCCAACCCCAACTGGCCTGAGTGCCAGGGTCAGGCACTGTGAAGTTCTGCACCTCCTGGAATTCTAGAAGCTATAGTTATGTGACTGCAAGTCACTGCAGGGCACGCATCACCTGTGGGCTCCCCAGCAACCACCCAGGACACATCATCCTCAGTCTCTTAAGTGGGAACACATTCAGGGGATGCAGGGCTTGAGACACAGGCAATGGAACTGTGGGGTTGGATTCAGATCCACACACTTCGCAGATGCTGAGTTATGCTGTGAAGTGCCGGCTGCGCTGTCTGATGAATCCTTTGTCCCTAGAAAGCTATCTGTGTCCTAGAGATGGAGAAGGGCTACTGGTGGTGCAGGAGGAAGAAGCAGCGGGCAGGGGTGAGACTGACAGTTGGCTCCAGGCCAGACGGTAGTCCGGATGAGCGCTGGTGCTTCAGGTGAGCGGGGGTGGGGACGGGCAGGCAGGCTCTGCATGCCTGAGGACTCTGGCCAGGGCAGGCGAGGTCAGCGCTGCTGGACCTCATTAGACCCAGAGCTCCAAGGCCTGCTGCTCTGCCTATCAGTTCATCTTCCTGTCCACTGACTAAAACTGAAGGTCCCTCCCCGGTGGCCCCTGACTAACTCCTTCAGGCCTGAAATGGGGTACAATCAGGAGGCCAAGAAGCCAGAGGCATCCTGGGGTCACAGCGTGCTAAGCCCGCCGTGACTGGTCGGCTTTGCCCTTCCACCCTCCACTCCCATCCTAACCCTGAGGCTGCAACCCTTCCCCGGAGAGCAAGCTCACCCCCCAGAGAGGGAGCGTGGTGACAAGTGCTCAGCCAGAAACACACTTTTCTGAGGGCACAGCCAAGCAAGGGGTGGGTCTTAGGACGTGGAGTAGCTGTGAAAAGACTCCAGGGCCTGGGTCCACAAAGACCCAGCTCCTCTAAACTCCTCTCTGGATGCTGGGGACAATCCAGGTCACTGTGAAGAGCCAGAGGGGACAGACGCCTGTTCCTCCCTGTGGGCCCCTGGCAGGGGCAATGGTCTGAGAGCTGGGAGCACAGGCTCAGGCGGGCTGGTGCATGGTCCAGAGTCCTGCGGAGAAGCCTCGTCCTCTTTGCCCTCCTCTGGGGCAGCCGCTGTCCTGCACCCCTGGCCTCCTGGAACCTCACAGCTGCCCTGTCTCCTGCAGGGTGGAGGAAGTGAACTGGGCTGCGTGGGAGCAGACCCTGCCCACGGTGTGCGAGGAGCCGTCGGGCCGGGGCGGCCCTGGTGAGTGTGTCAGTGTCTGCCTGGCCCACAGCGCAGTCTGGGCTCCAGGCTCCATCCCTGGAGGGGCTTTGTCCCATCAAGTGGGGTGTCTCCCAGTCTCTCCCCCGTCTCCTCGCCATCACGTGGGCAACTGGCTCCTGGTGCACCCTCCCCCCCTGCCTCTTCCTGTCCAGGTTTCTGTCTATCCATCTGCTGCACCCTCCGCTCATTCAGTGGGTTCTGGGGGGACCCAGCAGGGGAACAAGTTAGGGAGCACCCAGTGCCCACTGGCTCCACCCTAACAGGCCAGCCTGGCTAGCCCCACACCTGAGAAGCCACTTCCTCTGCCCTTGCCTCACGGCCCAGGCCTGTTCAAGGCCCCCCTGTAGAAAGGCTCCTCCATTCTAGGGTGGTGCTGGCCCCTCTCCAAGAATGACCCCTTTCCCCACCAGAGGCCTAGCTCTCTGCAGGGCAGGCCTCTTCTAGAATCCTCTGTAGCTCCCACCTCAAGGACTTCTGGCTGCCCTTCTCTCCTTTCTCGTGCTCTTTCCAGACTCCATCTGCTCTGCCCCGGCCCCCTCCCCACAACAGCCTCCCCATCACTGGAGAACCCTGTGTGTGGAGTCTCCTCTGGCCTCCAGGGCTCCTGGGTCCCTGACCACACGGCCCTCACTGATAACTTCCTGCCCACATGTCTGTGTGTTTCCCTCCCTCCGAGTGCTGTCCCCTCCCTTCAGGACTCTGAAAGTCCCCTTGTCATTCTACTCTTCACTACCTGCTGTGACCCCTGACTGGACATCACCAACGGGAACAGCCTTGGGGCTGCCCTGCCAGGACCACATTTGTCAGCCCGCCCCTCCTTGCCCAGGCAGGAGGACTTGTGGGTCTCTACCACCCCCTGCCCCCTGGTGCTGAGTGTCCTTGGGACCCTCTGCCCTTGCCCCTCTCACGTCTGCACCCAGACCCTAGACAAGGCTTTCGGCTCCAGGCTCATCCCATTCCAGTCCCTCTGATGCAGACAAAAACCACACACAGCACCCAGCACACACCTCCCACTGCCTGGAAGGCCACACTCCTCCTCCTTGGGTCAAGGCCCAAAACTGTTGTCCAGCCCCCTCCCTGCACTTCCCTCCATGTGACGGCAGTCCCTCAGCAGTGCTCCTTGTTCCTTTCTCTCCTTGGCTCTGTCCCAAGTGCCCTTCCATTCTCTGGGCGTCCACCTTTCCCATCTTCTCCCTGGGTGGGGTGGGGTCTCCTCTCTTCTCCGAGCACCTGACTCTCGCCACTGGCTTTTCAGCATATCATCTCAGGTGTTCCAGTTTCTAACACAAAAGCCTGTCACCTGCAGGCACTCTCAGCTCCTGGGAGGAGGCCCCTGATGGGCACGTGGTGGGGGGGGGCAGGCACTGCCGGGAACTCCTCACCTACTGTCCACAGGCAGGAGTGGTGCCATAGCTGTGGCCTCCTCCTGTTTCCTGGCGCTTGCCTCCTGGGGTACACACCCTGAGGACCAGGCCACCGTGGTCTTCACCCCTTTACAGGCGCCATGATGAGCCCAGCTTTGGCCTCCCAGTCCAGCCAGGACAGCGCGGTGGAGGAAGACCATGTGCCCCTGCAGCCCCTGGAGTCCCACTGATGGACAGAGGAGGGAATCTTTCTGGTCCCACCCGCTGGCTCTGGGGCTCAAGCGGTCTTCGGTGGCAAAAATGAATAAATATTTTCTTGTGACTAAGTCTTCTGGAAACGTTAGCTGAGTAAAAGTACTGGGCCCTTGGGCTGGGTGGCATCTGCCATTTCTCTGAGAGTTTACCTGTGTCTGGGGCCAGGCTGCTCCGGCCATATCCTGGGCACAGGAACCCTCACCTGCAGCCCCCCAGTTGCCCTCTTTGGGATGCAGGCAGCTGGCCGAGGCGCTGTGCCTGCTGTCACCACAGAAGCGAGGTGGTGGACACAGGCCAGTAGGGCCACCTCTACCCCAGCCTCCAGACACCCGCTAAAGTCACCTGCAGGACGTCTCTCAGCCCGCTCCAGGGCTGAACTTCATTCAGGCTGTGGATTACCAATTGCTCTTGAGCAGTTCCCACCCCTGCAAGCCGGAGGGACCTCCCTGGGACACCAGAGCAAGGTTACCCTGGCCTCTGAAGGCTTGCGAGGCTCCGGGCGCCCTCCGGGTCCCTAGCCGGCATCCCCAAGCATTTCCGGAGGCCTCCTGGTCTCCCTGGCACTTACACTAAATCCTTCGCGCATGACAGTGGACCTCGTGGGTGTCTGACCCCTAGGCGTGGGTCCGTCTAGAAGCCCCCAAACCCCACGCCTATTTCTAAGACCCGCTCAGTAACTGATGGGTCACCACCGCGTTTCCGGCATTCTCCCTTGGGGTCCTGTGTGTTCGTTCACAGGACGTGCGTGGACGGCTGAATGTTTATTTATTTTTGGGCTGAATGTTTTTTAAGTGGCCAGACCCGAGCCTGTTCCCACGCTGTGGGAGGGAGGAAGTCTTCACCGCTGGTGAAACGCGGGCGCGGCTGGGAGTCCCGAAGGAGCAGGGAGGGGGGCGGTCGGGGCGCAGCGACTGGAAGGGCTGGTGCGGGGAGGGCAGACGGCCCCGGCACCCAGGAGAGGAGCGGTCACAGTGTGTGCACCCCTGCCGCGCGCCAGCCTCTGTAGGGTTTCGAGGGCATGATCGCACGTAACGCGCAGAACCACGGTCTGCAGCCTCCGCCGCTCCACCTTCCAGAGAAGCAGCCGAAAGCTCGCGATGGCCGAATCTCTACTCCCGACCACCCGGGGGCGGCACAGAGGGACAGTCTCCAACCTACCAGCGAGCTCTAGCTCCTCGTACGCGCCCTGGGGCTAGCCGCGTGCCTGTGACCCAGAATTCTTGGGCCTCGAAGAGACCATGAACTCCGCAGGAGGGAGAGTCCGGCCGGCGCGGCGGAGGCTGTGCGGTTCAACGGGCCGGAAGTTCCCGTGAGTCTTTGCCAGGATTCCCCTCCCATCGCTGAGGAGTGGAACGTTCCGACTCCATAAGGGCCTGGGACGCGTGCCCTCTGGTCTTTCCGCTACCGGTATCGCGAGCGGGGTTGGGTATTTAGTTAGGGCTTGTCAGCGGGCGGCGAGGGCGCTAGAGCTTGTTTAGTTTCTCGACCGATGTTCCCGGGAAGCATAACTGGAGCGCGGCGGGCGGCTGCGCCCAGGCGGGCCTGGGGGCGGGCGCCTTGGCCCTGTGCTCATATCTGGGGACCGAGAATAGAGGAGCGCGTGCATCTTTGTCCGGCAGGGCCGCTGCGATCTGGGGACACCCCCCCCCCCCCGGGCTCGCGGCCGGGAGTGAGTGACCCCGAGAGGACTGGGTAAGCGGAGCTGCCTGCACCCGAGGGCGCGGGGCGAGGCTCGTAGGGGGGGGTCTCGAGGGAGGCTTGCTCGGCTGTCCTGATGATCCCGTAGGAAGTGCCGTCAGAAGCGATAACTGACGACTTTTACGCTTACCTGATGCAGTCGCTGATACCTGACGCTTTAGGTGCCTGTAACTGCCAGAGTCTGCCCTAAATGCACGTCCTGATCCTTGTTTCAGATAGCGGCCCACTCGGTTTTGCAGACGGGAGTAGGAGGTCTCCTCGAGGTAAGAACCAGTCTCTGTGGACTTAATAATATTAACTTAGCAGTGTCTAAAGTTCTTCCGCCCTTAAATGCACGGATATTGCCTGATGACTTGCCGTTGTCACTTTCATGCATTTGGTATAATTATGCACGGCCTCTTGGCGTGTTTGGGACGGTTTGGTTGCGGCCCCTAGCCTGAAACGAGTTATGTCTAAACCGCGTCTGTGTTCAGAAACACATGCTTTCAGGCAGGTTTAGCCACAGCCTAGGTCCTCGGGGTGGTACTAGGAGTGGTGAGGTGCTTGGCTGCTCTGATGAGATCACTAATAGGAAGTGCCGTCAGAAGCGATAACTGACGATAAAGTTTCCCGACTGACTGCAGTCAAGGCATCCTCACCATTTGGCGGTGCCCAGAAGTTGGGTGGTCTGGACTGTGACCCGTAATTTCTATATTCACCCAGGTTGCCAGTTGGTGAGGCATTGCCAGCACGTGATCACCAGCCACCGAGTATGGGAGCCTGGACCGAGGTGAGTAAACTTTGGATTGTAGTTGAGGAGGCCGAGGTGTTCAGTTGAATCGTGAAATTGCTATTGGACCATATGTTGGTCGTCTGGCTGACCTAGTACCTTGACCTTTGTCATATATGAGAATGATTTTGGTTCGTGTGTGGACCAGATGGCAGAGTGAACCCAGGAGTTCTTTTTTATGTCGTGGCTGTAGAGTCCTGAGCAAACTTTCTGCTCTGAGATGCCCTGAAAATTGAAAGCCTTAGGTGTGTAATGTTTAAAACAAAGTGACTGAATGGAAGTTGAAACATCTAAAGATGGCAGTTATGACTCAGTCCCTATGGACTGTTGAGGGGATGGATGTGCATTTGTATAGTTGTGGCTGTCAGCACAGTGGGAACTGCTTCCAGTTGCCCTTGGTTGTCTGTCCACAGGTGCCTTATTCATCCCTCCAGGGTCTGAGCTCTGAAGAGTGGTGACCAGCAGAGTTTTAGAGCTTGCAGCAATGGCAGGAGCACCCCATCCCAAGACAAGGTAAGACCTGATCTGGACCATGACCATCTGCATGGTAGAATGGATGAGCAGCTAGTTTTGTTAAAATGGTTTTGCAGAAAAGGATATCAATGATGAAATCACCCAAAAGAAGCTGGAATTACCGGCAGATTGTGTAGTGGTGAACCTATGGTTTTCTGAGGATATCTTTATGCTGTGAATGACTATTCTGGGGAGTATAAAGTAAGATTCACTGATACTTAGTTTCCTTGCAGGCTGTGCTGCAGCAGGGGCAGAATTTGGAAGCCGCAAGGACCAGTGGCAGCCATCAACTTGGACTTGGAAAATACAGGCTCCAACGTTTTGTTTCGTGTTGAGTATCAAAGGGGACATTCTTATTGTGAAAGAGCCAAGAAATGGATTTGGCAGCCTTTTTCTAGGACAGTGGAGTCATTAAATTCATAGTTTCATTGAATTGTCCCTTAAGCAAAAGTAGCTTTTTTGTACTTGAAAATATTGTATGCATTTGTTATACTGGGTGAGAGAAACTTCCTGAAATTTGTATCTCCATGCAGTTACCATAGATGTAATAAAAGGATGCTCTTTGGTATTAAGTTCTTAGAAATGTGTATTTTTGAAGAAAAAGTCAAGTCTGATCACTGCTGACAATTATTGTTCCGTCTCTAAGTCGTGTCGATATTAGTGGTCCAGTTAACTCCTTGTAACCTTCCCTTATGGTCAGTTTAAGGTGTTCTCTCCTCTTGAGACTTAGGGCAAAAAATCCCAAAGCATTTAAGGCATCTGTACACAGTCCCTGTTCCTCTGGGCTCTGTCCACTGGCATGAGCTTCCTTTCTCTTGAAGCCCCAGTCTGTAAAGGTCTTTGCTCCCTGGCATCAGATTAGAAGCTTCACTAACCCTCTTTACCTGAGGGGCCTTGGTTCACCAACATCATGGGTACCTGGGATAATTTTCTCCAATTCAGCAATCAGCTGGGCTTTTTGATTGGGCCTGAATGGGTAGGCCTTGGGTGTAGGGACAGTGGGGTGGAGACTTGCTTTTTTCCCCCCTCCCAGCTGTGACTGCTCGGAGGCACTTCATCTTTGTGGTCCTGGGGTTTTGGGAATGTGCTCATATTTTGGGGACCCCATGGGACGGAATTTTATGGGAAATGGTCCTTTTGAAAGGAAGCAAGGCTCACTGTGGCCTGTACCCTAGGAACAATCACCCATGGGAAGGTCTGGTAATCTGCAGTGTTTTGAGTGGGTCTTATATTTTCTGCATGCGCTGGTCTGCCCCAGGCTTGCTAGGCAGGCTGCCCTAAATACTGGGGGGTTTAGGGAATAGCTGGTACCCTGGGTAGGCCTTGGGATCACATCACAGGCTGAAAGATGGACCTTGTAGATGGTGGGAAGTTTGTTCCAAGGAGCCCAGGGCTCCACAAAGAGACACCCTTTAGTCCAGATGGGGAGGGGACTCATGGGGTCTCTAGGAGCCAGTCCCCTACCTTAGCCCTTGACCTGGGGTACAGTTAGCCTCTGGCTGGGGTTTGCTGGCCTGAATATTTGTAATTGAGGATGGGAAAGTCCTGGGTTAGATGGAGGGCCCCTACTACACTCCTTTCCTGGGGGAGAGCTCTCCCGATTCACAGTAGCTCAGGCTTCCAGCACCTCCAACCAGCTGCACCCACAGGTCTAGGGAGGGTAGGGGTGGATTCCTTTTAAGCCAGGGATGACTTCTCAGGCAGACGTGGGTAGAAAGGGGAGATGGAGAGGAGTTACAGTGCTCCTTTCCCAGGTGGTTCCATCCAGCTTCCCGTGGGGGTGGGGGGAGGCGCTGCCCAGGCCCACTGTGGAGCTCCCCCCCAGGAGCCCCAGCCTGCCTCAGCCATCCCATCCCAGGAGGAGTGACTTTGGCCCGCACTCCCCTGTCACGTCTGGGTTGCACCTACAGTTTCCCTGCCCTCCTGGTCTCTCACGGGGGTTTCAGGGCCCCCTCCGGGATCCTCTGGGCCCAGGGCCTCGTCCTGGGTCT